CTCGATTGGCAGTTCTGGTTTGCCCAGTCGGGCGACCGCTTCATTACGTGCGACGAAGCGGTAACGGAGACGAAACTCGAAAGGCACCGCGGACGGTGCATGGAACAGTCGTATAGAGGCAGTGACCGTACTAGTTTCACTAATCAAACAATAATCAAACAATAAATCATTAATGATGTTATTAATGATAATTATTAATAATTAACTCGGACCCAGGTAGAAATATATATATAAAATGTATATATTATATGTTTGGTTTGTATTCTAAATATTCTAAATATTCCGTATACTCCGGAATTGTAGAAGAATGTTCAAATGTTAATGAAAGATTTAAAATATTGATAATTAATTATTATCATTGATAATAAAAAGCTCTTTAAATTTGCAGGATTGAGACCGAGTGATCTGCAGTGTCTGCAGTACATCTTTTAATCAGAGGGTCCAGGTGAAAACTGAAGACTCGCACAGTTATGCAATGTATAAACGTACACTGAAGAGTGCAGAAAAAAATCATGTCACAACGTTACATGATGAAATCATGTATTTAAAACATGTAAATCACGTAACGGATTGTTCCAAATCAGTACGTGATTTTTTTAAATGATGTGATTTGAAAAATCACATGATATTAGAAATAATTTCATCCATCATGTGATTTTATAGTTACCAAATTTTAAAGAATTAAATGATAGAAATAGAAGAAAAAAGAACATATCATCATGTGACTTTTCAAATTAATTAATGAAGTAATTTTAAAAAAATCACGTGATTTTACTGATTTGGAACAATCCGTTACATGATTTACATGTTTTAATTACATGATTTTATCATGCAACTGTGTGACGTGACTTTTTTCAGTAGGGTGAACTCAAAAGAGAGAGTACCTGTAGTAGGACGCACGACCCTCGCTGACGCCGCACCAGGAGCCGCCAGTGAAGTGTCTACCGAGTTCGGCGAGCTGAAGTGAACCTTCAGGGCAGCTGGTGAAGTAGTTGTCAGCGTTCCCGTCGACGCGACCAACGCTGAACGCGTCCCACAGCAGTTGGACCAGTTCGCCGTAGCCCTGGCCGGCCGCGGTGAACGTCAGATGGCAGAGAAACGGCAGACGTTCCTCGGCTGGTCTGGGCAGATCCAGCTTGTACGTGTGGCCCTCGCGGCCATGGTACGTGCGGTTGCACGGCGTGCACATCGTCGGCTCATCGCTGCCATCACCGCAGTCATCCTCGCCGTTGCAGTAAGCGTCGATCGGTACACAACGGCCGTCCCGGCACGTCAACTCGGCCAACCCACAAGTGCCACCACCAATGCCGCTGCCGATGATGCTGACACCACCACCGCCTCCAATGCTGCTGCCGCTGCCACCGCCACCACCACCACCCCCGCCGCCTGTGCCACCCCCGACGCCGCCGCCGTTCGACGCGTCAGCGATCAGCAGCAGCAGCAACAGCGAGACGATACGACGTGATGATCGGAAATACTGTTGTCTGTTATTGTTGTTGTTGTCGGATCCTCCTCCGGCATCAGCTATCTCCTGTTAACGAGAAACATATACGTCTCTGAAGGAGTTTTATTTATATTTGTAGTTTTATATTTAATACTTATATTTAGAAAGAACGATTTTGCTAAAATATTTAACAATTTAATTAATATGTATCTAAAAATTTAACTAAATACAGATCTGAACATCATTTTGTTTGGACTATTAAAATAATTATGAAGGACGCTTAAATTGGTTGCTAGATTGTTAAAAATATTTAAAATGTGGTTATCAATGTTTAAGTATTCTACATAATTATTTTAGCTTAACAAAATTATTTTCAGATCTGTATTTACCTAAATTTGCAGGTACTTTAGCAAAATTATTTTTTCCGTGTGTATTTAATATTTAATATTTAATTATTCATAATTTATTTATATACGGAAAAAATAATTTTATTAAAGAGAGTATCTAAAATATAATTAAATAAAGATCTGAAAATAATTTTGTTTGGACTATTAAAATAATTACGTAGAGCATTTAAACCGGTTGCTAGAATGTTCAAACTGTTTGCAATATTGTTAATGTTTAAGCATTCTACCTAATTATTTTGATCCGGCAAAATTATTTTCATCTAGCTAAATTTTTAAATTAGCAAAACTGTTTTTTCCGCGCATATTTTAATACTTAATAATAATAAGTGAGATTATTTACAATTTATTTATGTAATATTTATAAAAATGATAAAATCACACGGAATATGGAGAACTGTCTAATTTTAGTAACTTTCTCTGAAACAATTCTTAATAATGTAACGCGACAATATGTACAGGAGCCGCGAGTGTTCTACTCCGCGGACCACGGGCTAATCGCATTAGCATCAACCCGCGTCTGAATCGGGTCGGAGATTTAAATCGATCGGCTGGACGTAAGATGTGTATCGGGACGCCGCGTCGTAAACACCTGTTTCGACGAGCGTCTTAAACACGCACACGATCACGCTAATTCAATTTCACTCAACGTTACGTTCATCATAATATCTACAAAGTATAACTGATTGTGAGAAATACTGAGATGCAATCGGATCAACGGCAGGGCGGGCCAAGTTGGACGGATCCGTCGATTTTTACCATAATAGTTCGCCAGCGAAACGAGCATATCACAGTGACAATTCCGACGTTGCGATTCGGATGTTGGCTTCGGATGAAGGCAGCATGACTGGCCCGAGACGACGAGATGAACGGGAGTAACAGAGAAGAGAAGAGGACTAAAGTTACGAATCACGATCGGCAGTGATCGTCGGCACCGACAACGGCATCCTCGTGGGCTCGATTGTGAACGACGACGACCACGGTACAGCCTCCCGGAGAAGAGAGTGTGACGACGGAGGGAACCCCGCCTACGCGCCACCGCCGCTGCCGCCGCCGTCGTCGTTGCCGCACTCACGAGGAGCGCCGCCAGCCGCAACTCGCTGTGCACGCCCCGGAGGTCGATGCGCAACTGCACGCTACCCATATACCATCCCCAGAGGGAAGCCAGCCACATCGCGCGCCGCCGCTGCAGGCCATGTACACCGGGGCAGGGGTGAACAGAACGGGGGCTGAGCTCTCTATGCTGGCGGAGAGCAGCGGAGAGAGAGCTGGTGCCTTGCCTGCCTGGCCACTAGGCGCCTCAATGCATCGATCGGCTTCTCGCTCTCTCACTCATCGGCCCATCCTCACCCTCTTTTTCTCTCTCTCTCTCTCTCTCTCTCTCTTTCTCTCTCCTCTCTGTCTCAATTTGTCTCTCTGTCTCGATCTGTCTCTCTGTCCATAACACCCCAAAGTCACGCCGAGGGTTGGTAATGGGAGGAAAGAAGAAGAAGTTGCAGGATCTACACAAGGGTCTCTATGGATCTATCAATTGGGATCGTACGATCGTAAATGTTAATAGGAGCAGCGAGCTGCTCCTTTTGCCCTGAAAAAAGATAAAATGGAACCTCTCGAGAGATTTCGGAAATGTAGATTTGTGGGTAAACTTATTTGAGTTACGACAGCGACATTCGCTGCCCGCAGACTGTAATCTCGCTGTGGCGTTTCCTCGGATTTCACTTATCGGAATTTTTGCGCCCTAGTAACCGCCCTCCGGGTTCGATTAAACGTCATCGACCGTATCTCAAGGAAAATATGCTATTCGCTTCTGGATCGAATCCATGATGACAGATATAAGCGAGCTGAATTTACATAATGTCCCTTATCAGGACGCTTCTCGATTATTGGGGTGGTGTTGATTTTCGAGTGGAAATGGAAAGCACTTTGTTTTCGGCATGATATTGCATGTGTATAATATACCCGACTTGGTGAAAAAATTTCACTGAAATTATTCCATGTTTTTTGGAACATTTCAGCGAAATTGCTGAAAATTTGCTGAAATTTCACTGAAAGTGAATTTTTCAGCTAATATACTGAAAAATCGTTGAAACTGAACTGAAATTTCTCTGAAATTAAACTGAAATTTTTCTGAAATGCTGAAATTTTGCCGAAAAGTGTTCCAAAATGTGAAATAATTTCAGCGAAATTTTTCCACCAGGGCGGAAAAAATGTTATATTATATAAATGAACATATTTTATATATAATTATATATAATTGTATATAAAATGTCAATTTTTTATATAATTATATATGAAACATTTTTTCCTGGGTATAT